TCTTCAGGAATAATTATGTATGTCACAGGAGCATTATTATAACTTGGTTAAATATCAGTCTTTTAATTCTTAATGATGCCTGCTTATCTTAATTTCACATTTAGGCGTATGACCCATTTCAAGTGAATTTTTGTGTATGGCACGAGATAAGGGTCAATTTTTTTTTTTTTTGGGGGGGGGGCATATGTCTTTTTAAGATGAATTTTTACTTTATTTTATTTTTATTAATTAAAATCAGAACATTTATTGTGTGACTCATTGTTGAAATCCTTAAGATGTGCTGGATGCTGCAACAGCTGTCCTCTTGAGTTTAGGTGTTGTTTCTTCATGGAATCCATGCCTGAATCTGCGGTTTACAATTAGGTGCCTCATTCGACCAGTCCCAGTGGTATTTCGTCTTTTAGCCTCGGTGCTTCACTTGTACTTTCTCTTCGGCTTGGCAGGATAGCCACATTTGCCACAGGCTGACTTCTGAAGGTGGTAGGCCTTAGAGCCACAGTGGTGGCACAGTGTGTGTCTTAACGGCAATGCTTTCCAGTGATTATTTCCCTTCAGCATCTTGTTTCTGTGGCTAAGACCAAAGAGCGAGAATCATAACAAATTTTGAAAATAATTATAATACAAGGGTTTTTCTTTGTATCTGTTGTTACTGTTATGGGACTGCAGCAGTTCATAACAAATCCATATCTAAAAAAGGCAGTCAGGGTGCCTGGTTGGCTCATGCGGTTAAGCGTCTTACTGCGTCTGACTCTTGATTTCTGCTCAGGTCATGATCTCAGGGTCCTAGGATCGAGCCCCTTATTGGGCTCCCTCATTAAAGGGGAGTCTGTTTCCTCACCTTCCCTCTGCCCCTCCCCCTACTTGCACTCTCTCTCTCTCAAATAAATAAATCTTTAAAAAAAAAAAGCAGTTAAATGCAAGGGGGAAAAAATCCTTTAAGGACAGTAGCAGGCCCTGGGAAATTTAGGTTTTTTTTTTTTAAGATTTTTGTTTATTTATTTGACTGAGAGAGATACACAATGAGAAAGAGAACACAAGCAGGGGGAGTGGAAGAGGGAGAAACAGGCTCCCCGCAGAGCAGGGAGCCCGATGCGGGGCTCGATCCCAGGACCCTGGGACCATGACCTGAGCCAAAGGCAGATGCTTAACGACTGAGCCACCCAGGCGCCCCTGGGAAATTTAGTTTTTGAGTATAGATATCCTTCCCAATATTTTTCACTTGTTGGTAATAAATATGGCATCCCTTCCCTTAAAGGAATTGTTTGTCTTAGAAGAAAGAAGCAAACCATTGTTTTACCCACGTAAATCTATGAATATATTTCTGACATTGAGGTGTTCCAGAAGATGATAAAGAAATGATAGCAGCTCCAGAAATACCAACTGATTTTAATCTACTACAGTAAGTATATTATGAAAATTTTTAAATCCTTTTCCACAAAATGGGAAATATATTAACTTCAGTTAAAATTATTTTTGCAGAAGATCTAATATATAAGATAAAAGTATGTATATTTTGAAACAGTTTATATCAGTGCTCATTGCTTTCTGTAACAGTGATTCCATGGTGTTTTTGTACTATGTTTTAAATTTATTTTTTAATTTAGATACAGTACAATTTATTATTTTGCTGTGCAGTTCTTTGAATCCATATTTAGTTTTACAATACCAACTGTTTTGAGGGAGTGCCATGAAATTCTTAAAAAGTTAGGTGTCCTCATTGGTAAGGAATATATACCACATAGTAGTATTTAGGGTGTAATATCAGATTTCTTTTATAAAATCCACTGATAATAGGCTTAAACAAATCTGGGAGGGTTGGACATGCTATCCATATTTTTTTAAAACAAATTACATGCTTATTGGTCTATAAAGTGACTTCAACATAGGTATTTTCTTTACTCTTGTCTTAAAAGCTACCTATACTTCTTTTTCAACTTTTATTCTAATTACTCTTTAGTATTTGATGTAGGAAGGAATTTAAGCTACTGCATGTAATAGTGGTTTTCATACTAAGCTGCAGTTTCATGAGGTGGCTCAGTGAAAAAGGAACCTTTAAACTGCCTTTGGATCCCTTTAACTGTACACATATACACCATTACTGTATTTGCTGTTGGAATTTTTAATAACACTTGATTTGAAAATAATTTGGTTGCTAAAAATTTTGAAAACTTTAGATAGATACCTTTGTACATAATGGTAGCCAGTGTCTACTTTTGATGCTTTATAGATTTTCATTTTTAAAATAATTTTATTATTTTCGGTGGAGACTAAGGTGGTCTACTGGGATATTGCCAATATTTCAAAGTATGCTTTTTAATGTGATTTTAATCCCAGTGTATATGGACTCTATTTGAAGATTCTTGAGGGAAATTTAGGGAGGATACAGGATAGTCTGAGGAAAAAATAATTTTTGGTTGGAGTATTATAAAATTATGAAATTTCTTAAATATGTTAAGATTGGAGACAGTTAAGAATGTTTGTATTATAAACTAGACTACTGACTATTAGAATATCTCAAATAATTAAGGCCTGAAATAGGATAATGGATAAGAGGGAATTGATGTGGTGGAGGTAGAATAGACAGTATTTGGTTGGGTATGTGAGATGGACGGCAGGGTAAAGAGAAGGGCGTGGAAGAGTCAGTCATATGATAGATGACTCATGAAATTTCAAGCCACTAAAAGGTTAACCTAGTATGCTCCATAAACATACTAGCATAGGTTATTTTACCTGGGATAGGTATAGGTGGTGGTGTTCTTTTGATCTTAAAAGCAGAGGAAAACATTGGAGAAAGACTTTCAAGAATATTTCTTCTCTGGTTGGGGTTATTTTAGACTCCTATCCTGATTACTCACTTTAGCTTTCTTCATAAGGTTTTCCAGTTAGTAATCAAACCTCTAGTGGCTCATTCTTTTAGTTGGGACAGCCTGGACATGCGGATTAAGAGTGTAATTGAGCCTGTGATTACTCTGTGGCCATTGGAATATTGCAAAGACTAGTGATTGTTTGCAGGCTTAATAGCAGTTACGGATCTAAGAGAGCTGGTGTCCCACAAATGTCTTGGGAAGAAAGAAGTATTACTTATATACAGCAAGATACTTAAAAACATTTTCTTTTTTTTTTTTTTTGCAAGGCTGTATAGAATATTGATGACCACAGTCTTCTTAAGATGAAACAGGCATGAGTTTCAGGGTTAATCTTACAGTAGTCATTCAGGTTTTGGTGCATTAACTCTTGGGAAATGGTACTTATAGACCCTTTCCTCACAACATTATAGGACATAGTTAGGATTGCCACTATCTTCAATACATTGTTTAAATTACATTGTGGGTAAGTGCTATAAATAGTAATCTTTTTCCTTGCTAGCACCTTAACTATTACTGTAGGTATATAAAGTATTTCTACCTCATAGCCGCTGGACAGCTGGTTATTTTAGCAATAAAAATGGAAATAGAAGAAATCTAGTTAGAAAAGACTAGCTTTAGAAAGAATAGCTTTGCATTTTGATTCCATTTGTTTTAAGCAAAACTGGCACTAGGATTACATATTTGAAGTGGTAAAACTTTTATCTTTTATGGGTGTGGCTCAATTCTAAAATCCATTATGACCCAAATTTCAAGTATGCCTTGCCTTCAACATTTAAATGAGGGTATGTTACCACTATTTAGGTAGATTGACCATGTTTGCATATATAGGAAGCATTACACATGTGTATTTAAATTAGTCTTCTTCCTTATGTGTGAGAAAATCCAGATTATATAAAACACGCCACCTACTCCAAAATAAGGGACAACTTCTTAGAATTATAGATTTACATATTGGAAGAGATTGAAGAGACTTTAGAGATTTCATTCTTTCTTGCATATACATTGTTTATAGATGAAAAGATTGAGAGGTTGTCACTTGTCTAAGATCACAGTTTATTAGTACTAGAACCAGTTCTCCTGACTGTAGTGTACCACCTCTTTACTTCATAAAGGATTTTGATCAATTAGCATTTCCCTCTTGTATTTCAAATGGTTTAGTTTGTAAAAATGTTTTATACATATCCTTTCAGAAGTACATGTTTTGTGTAGTTAGAATTACAAATTTTTTTTTGAGTGAGAGAGGAGTGGTCAGAGGATTCTTGATATTACTAAAATTCCCTAAAGGTCATCCAGTTCCTAGTGTTAAAATGCAGTCTTCTTTGAATTCCATGGTCTTGAATCCGAAAATGAAACCAGCCATTACAATAGAACACCACAGTTCCTAGGGTTAAAATTTCGAGAGCCACTGGTATTATACGTTTTTATGTCTCGGTTAAAAATTAAGAAAATAAAAAATGTTTAGGTTTTTTTGTTTTAGATTATTGTTTTGTAGTTTGTTATATAATTTTATATTTGGTAATATGCTATGGTATGATGTTTTGGGGAAGCATCTTAATTATATCTAATGCTAATAAGGAGTTTTGTAAAGAGTTAACCAAGCATTTCTTTTAGAAAATATGGCAAAAATTAGAAACTCCACCTGTATTTCTAAGGAAAGTTTTAAATAATTGCTTATCTTTTGTCACAGGGAGTCAGAAACACATTTTTCTTCTGACACAGATTTTGAAGACATTGAAGGAAAAAACCAAAAACAAGGCAAAGGAAAAGTATGTACAGAATATATGACTTTATTTTGGTTCTTAAGGTCATTTGTATATATGTATGCATATATACATATAAAATATAGCTGTTTTAGTTATGTCTCAGCTGTTGTCTTTTAAAAGTGCTTTTTCCCCCGCCGATTGGTACGGTAAGCCTGAATGCATATGGTTTCTTTGGCTTCTAGGTCAAATATCTTTTGATTATCTATTTTCCACTACTGTAAAGTTGAAATTAATAATACAGCCCTCTTTTTTTAAAAAAAATTTTATTAAGTCCTTAATTTTAATTCCAGTATAGTTAACATACAGTGTAATATTAGTTTTAGGTGTACAATATATTGATTCAACAATTCTATACATTACTCAGTGTTTGTTATGATAAGTATATTCTTTAATCCCCATCACCTGTTTCACGCATCCCCCACCCCCACCCCCCTCTGGTAACCATCAGTTTATTCTCTGTAGTTAAGAGTCTTTCTTGGTTTGTCTCGCTCTTTTTTTCTTTGTTTCTTAAATTCCACATATGAGTGAAATCATATGGTATTTGTCTTTCTCTGACTTACTCTCTAGCTCCATCTATGTTTTTGCACATGGCAAGATTTCATTCTTTTTTTTTATGGCTAAATAATTTTCCATTGTATATATAGACACCACATCTTCTTTATCCATTCATCTATTGATGGACATTTGCACCGCTTCCATAATTTGGCTATTGTAAATAATGCTGCCGTAAACATAGGAGTGCATATATCCTTTCAAATTAGCGGTTTTGTATTCTTTGGGTAAATACCCAGTAGTGTGATTACTGGATCATAGGGTAGTTTATTTTTAATGTTTTGAGGAACCTCTATACTGTTTTCCACAGTGGCTGCACCAGTTTACATTCTCACTAACAGTGCATGAGGGTTCCTTTTCTCCACATCCTCACCAACACTTGTTTCTAAGAGTTTATTTTGTAAAGCACGGTATGCTAAGCACAATGTGATATTCTTTTGGCTTTATTTACGCATGAGTAGTCAAACATAAAGCGAAGCAAACAAAAATAAAATTTCTTATTCTAAAGCATCCTAAAAGTGTAACCAATAACCAGTTTAAGTCAAGTAGGTTACAGTTAACAAGAGTTTTACTCATTATAAGTAATGTCAAGGATAAAAACTAACAAAGTGAGGGGCGCCTGGCCAGCTCAGTTGGAAGAGCACTCGACTCCTGATCTCCAGGTCATGAGTTCAAGCCCCACATTGGGTGTAGGGATTACTTAAATAAATAAAACTTAAAAAAAAAAAACCTAACAAAATGAGGTTCTGAGTCAGTAGAATGCATATTTAGAATATGAATGCATAGCCTGAGGACTCTGGATTACTTGGTGAATTGTTAAATTATTTTGATGTTTTGGAAAGTACATTTGACTCTGTGCATGTGTGTAAATACAGTGTGCAAAAGATGACTTGTTTTTGTTCACCATTTTCCTTCCCAAATGAATTTTCGATTTATATTTTCTTACAACACATTTACTTTTATTTTTTATCTATTCATTTATGTAAAAAAATTTTTTTAAAGATTTTATTTAGAGAGGGAGCACGAGCAGGGCTAAGGGCAGAGAGAGAGGGAGAGAAAGAATCTCAAGCAGACTCCACGCTGAGCATGGAGCCCCATGCGGGGCTTGATCTCATGACCCTGAGGTCATGACCTAAGCTGAAATCAAGAGTCAGGTGCTTAACTGACTGCGCCACCCAGGCACCCTGACACATTTACTTTTAAAAAGTCTATAATAGTGACGCCTGGGTGGCTCAGTCAGTTAAGCATTTGCCTTCGGCTCAGGTCATGATCCCAGGGTCCTGGGATCAAGCCCTCCATCGGGCTCCTTGCTCAGCGGGGAGCCTGCTTCTCCCTCTCCCATTCCCCCTTTTTGTGCTCTCTCTCTCTCTGACAAATAAAGTCTTAAAAAAAGGAAAAAACAGTCTATAATACAGAAATGTACAGTGAACAAAATAGATTTCCCTATAAACCTATCACACAGAGGTAAGATATTCTTTAAACATTTTGATGAGCATTCTTTTGTACATACACCTGTCTATAAACATGCACATAGAATTTTACTTAAATGGATTCATGCTATGCAAACTGTTTAATTTGCTTTTAAAACTTAATAGTACATTGTAAGCAGCTTTCCTATCAGTGAATTTTTCCTGTCATTTCTAATGGTGTCAGAGCATCCCATTTTATGTATGGAATATAATTTATTTAGCTAATCCTTGGCATATATTTTTAGTGTTCATATAATCCATGTTTCATAATTTCATATCCTTTTTTAGTCTCTTAAAACGTAGAAATTTTGAGACAGAAAAAGTGAATGAATAAAATGTTAACTCATGACTGTCCAAAGACAGCCAAATTCTAGTGGGTAGTATATGGTTATTCATTTGAAAACCAATTTTTTTTGTTCTGCAACCATCTTGCAAAACTGAAAATACACTTTTGACTTGGATTTAATCTACAGGTTGGGACAAGACTCAGAGTGGCATCTGAATAGAGGACTCCCCAAAGTTTTTGTGCCACACTTTAACTTTGTATAGTCACTGCTATGAATGAGGTATTAGGGCCCAGATTAATGATTTATTGTAATAATAATAGTAACTACGCTTTGACACTATACTATGTATGTTCCAAGCACTGTGCTAAAAATATGTTCTGTAATTTAATACTTGAACCACTCTGTGAATTAGAAAACTTACTGATTTTATAGATAGGAAACTGGTCCAGAGAAGTGCAGTGGTTAAAGGATTTGAGCCCACATCTGTTAAAAGGTGGTGAGAGCAGAAGCAGGGTTAGGGGCAGAGGAAGTGGAAGAAGCAGACTCCCCGCTGAGCAGGGAGCCTGATGTGGGGCTCCATCCCAGGACTCTGGGATCATGACCTGAGCTGAAGGCAGAGGCTTAACCAGCTGAGACACCCAGGCGCCCTCCCCCCATAGTCTTTCTTTAGAGATGTTTTTAATCTACAAGATTATGCCCAGGTTAGCATGTTTACTTCTTGTACTTCCTGTATTATTCCTTGCACGTTGTTTTTTTTCTAGCATAGGATATGCATTGAGCCATTTTAATTGTACTAATTAGTTTTCCATACCAACAGGGAATATTGAAGCATATGATAGATAAATTGCAAAATATAATTCCATTGAATTAACATTAACATTTTATACTATCCTAGTGTACTCTCTGTAGTTGATCTTTTCTTTCACCCTTATCTCTGAAATTCCTTTTACTGGGGACAGTAACCTTTTATTCTACAATTAGGAATTAATGACAAGTTCACAAAGACTGAATCTCATTAACAAAATAATGTAAATTAACAAGTAATATATTTCAGTTGTTAAGAAGGAGTTTGAAGTAGTTAAGAGTAGGGTGGTTTTGGACTCTTGAGGAAGGAGGAAGGATCGTCTTTCGAACAAAGTATAGAAACATACAGGCTGTCAGTAGAAATACGTTTGTAGACCTGGCGGTAGACCAGGGGTCTGCAAACTATGGCCTGTTTTTATACTGCCCATGAGCTAAGAATGGTTTTTATGTTTTTAAAGCGTTGTAAAAATAAGCAAAGAATATATGACAGAAATGGAATGTGGTGGCCCGCAAAGCCTGAAATATTTACTGTCTGGTGTTTTACAGAAAGTTTGCCGATCCTTGCTCTAGATCATAGAAATGTGTAGGTTGAAAAGAGACCTAGAAATCATCTATTCTAATCTGTAAAGATTTAATACAACTCTGACATTTTAGAAATGAGGACTCTTGAGTTAGGGAATGACTTGCTTTTCTATAACAAGTTAAAAGGCTGTGGGAAGTATTTTATAACTGAAGCATGTAGGCAACCTTTTCACTGATTTATGAAGTCCCCACTCCCCAGTATTGACAACTTCCTTATAAAGGGGCTTCATTTCCATAGTGTTCATTAAATGAATTTTCATAATAAATGTTATCACTAGTTGTACAGAGGAACATGATTTTTTACATTTGAATTCTCCTTCATTTATTCGGAATAAGAATGAGGTTGATACACCTATTCATACTTTTTAGAATTCCTTTGTCAGTGCACTGCAATAATTTATAAGACTAACAGATAAAATTTAAAAATTTGAACTAAGTACGAGTTACTTATTTGATAAAGTGTTTTGTTATTCTTGCTGCCCACTGCAGTCTGCACCTTAAAGCAGCAACCCTATGAAGTAGGCACAGTTTTATCCTCACTTTACAAATTAGAAACTCTGAAGCACAGTATGGTTAAGTAACTTGCCCAGCATCACTCAGCTAATAAAAATCTGGACCCATGCAGTCTGTCAGTCTGCAGAGGCTGTGCTCCTTACTACAGTGTCGCGTGAGGTGTCTGGTACTACAAATGAAAAAATTGATGCCACAAAGAAGCTGTCTCAACCATACCATTTTATCATGACATGTGTATGGCATGCCTCTTTAGGTCAGGTTTAGGCATGTTATAATTATGTACCCTTTTAACTGCTTCTGCTGTAGCTTTATTTTGAATTTTCAAGGATAATGATATAACTTAATTAACTTGTATTTTTATGCAGACTTGTAAAAAAGGCAAAAAGGGCCCAGGAGAAAAGGGCAAAGGTGGAAATGGTGGAGGAAAACCTCCTTCTGGTCCAAACCGAATGAATGGTCATCACCAACAGAATGGAGTGGAAAACATGATGTTGTTTGAAGTTGTTAAAATGGGCAAGAGTGCTATGCAGGTAATGTTTATTGTGTTCTTCCCAGTTTATTTGTACATTTTAAACTTTAGTGAGTTATATAAAATCCCTGAGTTTTCTAATTGCATTTAAAAAAAAACTAACACTGCTTATTAGAAAAAAAGCAACAAAGTCATCAGAAAACTAGGGATCTGTCTATTCAGACATAAGACCTTTAAGCTGTGTCTTGAGTCATTTTCTACTGCATTATTTTCTTTTAATGGCATATAATAAAAAGTTATTTGCTCAAAAAATATGCTGATGTAAACTATGAGGTTTCAATTTCCCCTGAATTTATATGGCTGCCATTAAAATATGAAGTCCTTTGCCCATATAGAATTCTTGGTTGAGTGACCTAATATAATCACTATCCACTTTAGTGAATTGAGTTATGTTGATCACTGTTGTCTATTATAAAGTTTATTACTTGTGCTGTTTCTTAGCAGAAGAGTGAAAAGTGAGAGTCATATCCATGTCACATCATCCTAATTTTATTTCTTCTGCAAAATTTTATGACAATAGAAGCATTTAGGCTTTACAGTGGAGGCTAAACCCATACGGTTTTAACAGAAATTGAATAAACACTATACTCAAAAGAATATGCATGCTTAATAAAGTCATTTTTTAATTTATAAAAGCTATGGGGAATAGTTATCAGAGAATTAATTTTAATCAAAAAGGGTGCACGTGGGTGGTTTATGGAGAACTAGCCTTTTAAGTTTTCTGTTATTTAAGAGTAACAAATGCAGATCTTATTTGTAAATATGGACTTATCTGAATATGTATGGCTTTGTAAATAAATTTTAAGTATCAGTTGGGACTGATAAAACCGCATTTTTACATGTAAAATAAAAATTGTTAGTTTTGAGCTATTACCAATTGTACAGAGGAACATGACTTTTAAAATTTGAATTTACCTTCATTTATTCATACATGGTTTGCTTTTTATATAGTTGTGATGAGGGTGTAGATTTTATTTCTTTAATGTTTTAAGTTATTTCATATATACATTTGATACATTTTTAAAAATAATGTCTTATTATATTATGGTGCTATGGTTTATTTAGTCATTCCCTAATTCAACAAGTTATCCCCTTCTCTCTGGTTCTCTGGTTCCCGTTTTGGGTTAACTCTATCAAAGGAATAAATTCTCTCAGTTATGTTACATATGGCATTTCATTACTTTCCTTTTTATTTTTATATTATACTTTTTCTCTATAATATTTATTCTAAGCTGTTAAATGCATTCATCTTTTTTGATATCTTTCATTTTTGTTAACATCAGAAATCTCAGCTTATATCCACAGCTAATTAGGCTGTTCTATTTTTGTCTAGTCTATAGGGTTTTTGTTTAACTTTTTGGCTCATCAAAAATTTTTAATAGAAAATGTGAGGGTTTAGCTTTATATTTAATTTTTTTGTTAATGGTGTCTCAGTGTTTAATAAAGAATGAACATTTTCCTTATTTTTATGTTGATTATGGTTTGTCATATATTAAGATCATACCTCTGTGTTGTTTTTCTGTTTCTAAATGTGCTTTCACCCTTAAAAGTGGAATGTCCACAGTATCTCTCCATTGATTTCCCTGAATGGACTCTTTACCTCCAATTTGTTTTGTGTACTCCCACTTGTGTTATCTTGGTAATAAGAAATTTGATCAAGGAAGTCTCCTGTTTACAAGCTTCCAACAGTTCTTCCTTATCTAAAAGTTCCAGCCCAGATTTTTTTTTATGGTGTGCTTCCTATTTCCCGCCACAGTATGTACTCTGCCTCAGCCCCACCCTCCATCCCCCCCCCCCACCTTTCTTTTTGTTTTTCCCTTTGCCTGGAATAGTCTTCTTTCCTTCTTTCCATATCACATAAGATTGACTTAAATCACATGTCACTCTTTTGAGAAGCATTCTTGGGCTCTGTCTCTTTCTCCCCTTGAATATATTTCTTACTCTTTCTCTTTCCATTATAGCACTTAATATATTGTATTATTGGTATGCATATGTCTGAATTTGCTTCTAGATCATTAATTTCTTGATCAGGGACTGTGTATTACTCAGTTTTTTGTATCCCAGGATGTACCTATTTCAGTAATTTATAGGTGAGAATAAGTATTAAGACTGGCTGTTGGTTTTAAAATAGTTATTATATATTAAGAAAGGAGGGATCTGGGACGCCTGGGTGGCTCAGTCGGTTAAGCGTCTGCCTTTGGCTCAGGTCATGATTCCAGGGTCCTGGGATCGAGTCTTTTTTTT